CAGAGAGTTTTGTGATGCATTAAAAAAATACATACTTATGGGTTGATTGCAGACAAGCATATAGAACGTATTAAGCCTAGTAGTGGTTACTTTTAAAGCAATAATTTTTTCCATTTTTGTCGCCCCAGATTCGCGATTCGTCCGTACGTGCAGCGTCGATCTGCAATATCACACAGAACGGCAGCCCCGCATGAGATCGGCGTTCCGGGGCTCTTAATTTCTACAATTATGGACGAGAACAGCACACGGCGTCTACGCCGTAAATCCACGCGAAAATCTGATACAACTGCTGTGCTACCGGTAACGAAAACCGGTAACAAATATTGCCCCTGAACGCTCGCTCTCGCGCTGCCGTCTCGCGAACGTGCAACACGCGTGCACGGGCTTTTTCGTTCTCCGCTATCGCGATCTCCAGGAGGCCCGCAACTCCAAGTCTACGTTAATTCCCCGATAGCCGACTACCCTGGAGCTTGGGAGTTTCTCGTGCTTGTCGCCGAGCGTCCCACTAAACGATATGTTACACCAAAATGCAGCGAATCTCGGCTCCGCGAGAATTCACTAATGACGCTCGACTGCAGAACACGAGCGTCCCTCGCCCCGATGCATGCGACTTTACAATTTTACAAGTTACAGAGCAACCTCACCGGTAGATCCCTGGCTCCCGCTCTCCTCCAGCCGATTCCAGTCTCTCTCTCTCTCTCTCTCTCTCTCTCTCTATCCCTCTCGATAGCGCAGGTCTTTCGACGGGCCGGGACGTCCGCCGTTATCGCACGCCGGAAACGAAAAGCACCGAAAATCGCGATCGATGCGCGATCAATACGTTATCCCCCTCCGAGGGGCGCGCAGCCGCACCGCGCTTTTCCGCGACCAAGGTACGTGCTCGCGATCCTTCGCGGGCAGTGCCGTGCCCAGCGAGGTCCTAGGGGTGGTTGAAGGCCCCGCGAGCTCATCTAGTGTCGGCAGCGTATTTTTCTGCTACCGACGGCCCGCTTTCTCGCTGTCTGGCATACGGCGGTCCTGTCCGTCGGGCCCGCGCCTTCTCGAGGCTTTCCTCCTACATTCACCGGACGTCCGGTCCTCCTGCGGCCCTCACTTCTCTCAGGCAGAGGCCGGCCGACCGTTACCTCGGCCCTGGTGGCCGCTCCACTCCTACTCTTCCGTTGCTGCTTGCTTCAAACGGCCGTCGTTCTTCCTTCGGTGAGGCGTCCCTCATTTTACATGCAATTAAATCGTGGAGATTAGAAAATAATATTTAAATCACAATTTCGGCTCCTGGAGATTTCGCTCGCTCGCCATTCCCGGCCCGGGTCATACGCCAATTCGCGCTCTGTGACGGCGAAGGGTCGCTGCGACGCTGCAGCGAGGCGGCAACGTCAACTTAATTTAGATTTGTTCTAAGAAAAATATATACGCGCTCTTTGCATTTCGTGGCCACTTACATACTTCAACTTTTAAATCATTTATGGATGTCCATTTTGTACCTTTAGCTCGCAATAAATTTGTGTAATGTCCTTCGTCTATATTTTTACCATGATGAAGAATCGCACTATTAACTTTATAAATATTATCACCGATACAAATTTTTGACGAAGGTATGGATTTAATATTAAGATTTGTAATCTTTATAACTTCTTCATTATTAACTTTAAATAATAATAATTGAATAATAAGTACACGTTTGGTCGTTGTTATACTAGTCTTTTCAAGTAAAGCAGTTGAATTACAATTACATGTATGTGTCACACGACGATTGAAAAATACATGTATGTGTCACACGTCTGAACATAACTGAAACGTACCCTTTTCGGGACTCGGTCTCTAGATCTCGGTATCGGCTGCACCAATTTTATTCGGACTGGTCGCAATCGAAAGATACCGATGACATTATATAATAAAAGTGTTTTTAGATTTTTGATTGTGCTTTTAAATTCTGAGTAATTTTAATCTAAAGTTTCAAGATGTGAAAACTCGAGATAAAGCTAGTGGTAGCGTCGTGAATTTGACATCGATATGAACATATACACGCATCAAGTGTCATGTCATCATGTCAAACGGTTATATTTTTATTTTATGCACTTGGCGTCGCGACGCTACCGCGTCGCTTGATAGGTTGGCCTTCCGTTAAAATATGATGTTCAACACCATGATTTTTGACAGTAGAAATCGGTGTGAAACGCGTTAAATTCGGAAATTCAGCTAAGAGTTTCTGGTAAGTGGAGTTCGACAAAGTAGTACAAATTGTGAAATGATTGACTGCCGAAATTCTTCCAAAACGCGTCAAACCGGTAACATTGTCAATAAGGCGTTTATGTTTCATATCAATAAGTAAGCCGAAATGACTAAGAAAATCTGCACCAAGAATAGGATTCGAAACATCGGCTATGCAAAATTTCCAACTGAATGTTCTTTTTAAACCGAGGTTTAAGGTTAACCATTTAAAACCGTAAGTGTTTATCATAGTACCATTTGCGGCATACCGTTTAATGGAATCTGATAATGAATTTTTTCTAAATTTTTTAGGTATTAGAGAAATATCAGCCCCAGTATCCACTACAAAGTGTAAACCAGAGTTCTTGTCAATAAAAATAAGGCGATAGTGATTGTCACCATTGTCTGACGCCTTAACATCCAACGGATCAATTAGTTTTCCGGTTTATCAGCTAAAGCTAAAGTCTTGGACATTGAGCAAGGAACAGTACATTTAAATGCTTTTGAACCAAACTTTCTGTGATAAAAACAAATTTCAGAATTGGTTGAATCAGATTTATCTCTTGACTTTGATCTAAAATTTCTTCTACGACGATAATTAGAGCGTGACTTACTACGCGAACATTTAAATTCTAAAGCTGCAATTCGCTTTTCAAGGTCAGCTAAATTAGGCGTAACAGGATCTGCTTTTGGCACCTCCACAACCGACTGACAAATTGGAAGAAGACCATTGTCTCGTTCTAAAATTTTATCAGCTAATTCAGCTAATTTATTTAATGGGACGTCACCCACAACAGCTAAAGTTGCTTGGACTCTAAATGGCAATCTTTGCAACCAGAGAGAATGTAAAACATTATCGGCCAAAGAACCGCCGGAAAGTTGTTTAATTTCGCGCAGTAAATCCGATGGTTTCTTATCATTAAGTTCGATCCCAGCTAAAAGTTGACGTAATCTTTTCTCTTCAGAGTCCGTGAATCGATCAATGAGAGCCGTTTTTAAAATATTATATTTATCTTTTTCAGGAGGATTTTCAACTATATCTGAGACTGTCATAAGCGCTTTTTCATCCAAATGACGTAATACAGAGCTAAATTTGACATCATCTGATCGTATTCTATACACAAGAAATTCGCTCTCTAATTGCGCAAACCAAAGTTTCGGATGTTTATGCCAAAAAGTCAGGAGTTTAATTAAGCGAAACTCATTGGAATTAATTTGATTTGACTCACCAGTATGTAATGATTCTGCTCTCTGAACTTCAGCCTCATCTGCGGCTGTATTATTAAATATCGGTACCTCATCAAATTGCATGTTTGTAGAAGTATTCGGGACTTTAATTGGAGTCCGGTCCATGGGCATAACGAGAATCAATTCGACTGGTTAAAGATTTCCGAGATTTCCAAACTCCGCCAACGATTAGCACTGAATATCCCTTCAACTAAATATCTGATCACGTCGGGGTCACCAAAAATGTGGATAACTAGGTGCGAAATCTCCAGTGATATTAAGTTTTTATATCAAAAGTTTATTCAGAGAGAAAATAATGATGTTTACAAGTCAATGTATGGAATAATAATTGAATAAATGTTTTTTGGGTTGTCAAGGAATTTTGTAATAAGTGTGTATTGATTTTTAAACAAAAGATATAAAGTGTGTAAGTACCGAAAGATATAAAGTATGTAAGTGAATAACAGTGTATATGTGAAAATGAAGGAATCTGGTTTATCTTCGTGAAATCGGTAACGACGAACTCGAAGACCGCCACAAACCTTCGGAAAAAAATGTTATAGCAGACTATCCATGTAGCTCCGTCATTTGTTTAACACGTGTACTGAAGATATATCTGTTTTAACATACGCTACCATACTACACGTAGTTCTAGAGGTTTAGCAAACTGCGAATATCGAAAATGTCAAAAAAATGACGTATTTCAAAGTACTATTTCACGAAAATTAGTACCGCAAGCTATATTTTTCAAAATTTAATTTTATTCAGAATATCGTAGAGTACAACATACTACTTTTGTAAGAGAACTCATTGCACAATTAACAAAAATAAAACCATTTAACGTTTTTTTTTTAAAAACATTTTTTTAAATTTTGATCGTCCATATTACATCCGCCATTTTGAATTTTGAAAATTTGGCAGCAATTTTGCAATCAGCGAGCTACAAAACCCCTATATACCAAATATAAAACAAAATTAACATTTTTTTTAAATTTTCATTAGTCATATTGAAGCCGCCATTTTGAATTTTGAAAATTTGTTAGCAAATTCGTCATCAGCGACCTAAAAACCCCCTATATACCAAATATCAGATAAAATTAACATTTATTAAAATTTTTATGGGCCGTATCGGATCCGCCATTTTAAATTTTGAGAATTTGATACTGGATTCGCAATTAGCAACCTGAAAAAATGTTTTATACAGAATTTCATAAAAAATCGATGGCTGCAATAATTTATTTGCATTCAACAAGAAGCCGCTTATATATGTTTACGTTTGTTTCTAATGCTATATATATATATATATATATATGATACAAATTTTTTTTCTTAAAAACGGCTTTCTTACGTTTTTTCTAAATTTTCTTACGAAGATTTAAAAAAAAAACATTAATTTTCATAGAAAATTGAAGCCTGTGGCTTAATTTGTTCTCGCGAATCCGTTTTGACCCCACTGTGGATCTCCAGGAAGAAACAAGGGACGGCTTTGTGTTTTCGAAAGCCGCTGCAGCACCGCTCCGTAGGCGGCTGGAGTTTGTATAAAAATTCACAGCGGCTATCCCAGAGAGGCCCCCGAAACAACGCGTTTTCACTAAATTAAAACCCTCCGAGAGGATCCAGGTCATTCACAACAATTATTGACGGCACAGACGATCACAATACGCTTAGGCACTTCACAATCTACGAATAATTATATAGCAAATGAAAAGGGTAAAGAGATTAAATAAAAGAAATTTCGAAACAATGACAACTGTATTTAATATCTTACTTACACTTATTATATCTTTATTTTAAAACAATTAACAAAAAAAACGACTTATAATTAGCTGAATTATAGAGATATTCAATCGAGTGCGAACTCAAACGAAACGTTTCTTTTAATTTTGGGAACGAAGCGCCTAAGAGAAAATACTTTAATCTGAATACATTTGAAGCTAAGTGTTATTCTAAACGAAGTGCGCTGCGCTCTTCGCGGACACGACTTACCTATATACAATACAAGGGTTAATCCCCGCGAGGACAAGGGGGGTCGTCCTTTCCGGAAATTACATCAGAAATCTCTGTTTCTAGAATTGTCTGGAAGATTCTCGGAACTTCTATTTATGCCCGAGCAGAAATTTGTTAGGGCATGCCTAATGTACGATAAGGCCCTCATCAGGAAGTAGTAAGGTATGCCGTACTTTGGAATTCATCATTTGGGCCTGATCAGGAAGTGGAAAGGTATTCCCTAGTATTTCCCTCGGAAATTATACTAAAATGTCGTATAAGGCCCTGATCAGGTATGAATAAGGCATACTTAACTATGGCATGCCAGATCAGTACCTTCATAGGACCTTTTTATTTCATCCTCAAAATTAATTTTAAAATCAGTCAGGCATGCTTGATACGGCGTCAGTCAAGACCTTTTCCAGTCATCCTTAAAAAAATTTTACAATCTAAATATATATATATATATATACCCCCGTGTGGAAATTTCCCTATCTTTTCTTTGTTATATTCCTATGAAATTTCCTTAAAAAAAGGAACACAAAGAGATTCTATTCTGTTTTCCTAATATATACATACACTGTCATATAAACACATAAACTATCTGTTTTTAATATTTCCATTGAACAGATATATCACAATTATACAGACGTTGACATATACAGATTCGTGGATCATCGAAGCACAGCAGTTCCCGTACGATTATCAAGGTTAAGCATGCGAGGTCGTGGTACAATTTCGGATGGGTGACCGTTGGGAAGAAATTATTTTCAATAAACAAAACATACTACTACCGTTTGGGAAGCATCATGAAAAAAAATTAATTCTCGAATTTAGAGGAAATTTTTTTTTCACGATTTTATTCTAAAATCTCAAAAGATAAATGAAATCCGGTTCTGAACATGCAATGCGTTACACATCTTGGTTAGGTTACCAAATCAGATAACCTTACCAGGGCCAGATTATGTATTACGGCACCATATTTGAAAACGTAAGGTGCAACAAGGGGCAATCATAGGCCCTCATATGGATAATATCTGGGCCTGATAAGAAAATCCTAATCAGGCAATTTTAATTCTCGACGTTACATTTATGGTTAGGACCTTATTAGGCACCTGACGTGCGCCTAACCAGGCATTATGGCAGGATTATTAGGCCCATATCAAAGGCTGACCAAAATTTCTGCTCGAGTGATAAGTGGTGATGCTGAGCAGTAAGGGGAATTGACCCCTCAATGTGTAACTTATTTACCGATATTATTCCGAATCCTTCTATTAGTTAAATTCTATTAATTTTCAATTATTAGGAGTTAATTTCAAAAGGTCACACATTGGTGGGCACAACCCTTGCAAGGCACAACACTGCGGTGCAATATCTGTATATAATTGATGGATTTACTTATGCGGCAATTCGCCCGAACGGTTACTTTAGTTTTTATACACGTAGTTGTACCGAATGTATCGGCTCTTTGTTCAGGCTCGCTATGCCTCGGCGCGTTTCTTCATTATTTATTTAAGAGGATTTTATCTACTTTTGATTAGGATATTTAAGCGAAATGGCTAGTATTCATTGCTGCTAGTTTATTCATCAATTTGATGTTGTTTTGTAGCAGGATTGATTACTAAGTTTAAATAAATAATACTTAATCTTTGTGTATATTTAGTATTTGTGCTTTAATTTTGCACAAGTATACACAGTTTTTATATTTATTCCTATTACGCCACTTGATTGCGTGCTATGTATTTATTTTATTTTAATTAACATAAGTATCCTAGATTGGAGCGCGCGCGCGCATGAAAAATCGCTACAGCTGGTAATCACACGATAAGCGCGTGATTATCTTCGTGGAGCGAGACGCTAGACGGTTGTTATGACAACCGCTCAGCGTTGCCGCTGGTTCGTAGTCTACACGTGTTTTTCGGCGGACGTTAAAATTGCATATAATACAATTTTCTAAAAAATTTCTGCAACATGTTATTCTTAGTGCACAAAATATTAAAATCGGTTATTGACATTTGATTTGAAATTTATTTAATTTATACTAGCCCATGCAATGAAAAATAATTGCTTGTAATTCCAGAGTACCAATCTGTTAATGACTCGGAAAAAGAACATGGCGGCCTGCTCTCAAATGAGTTTCTCGTTGTTCACTTAGAAGTAATGTTGAAGCTTGTACGGAGTAATTTTTTCGACACTTGAAGAACGAAAAGTATTACTTAGAAATAATGAATAATAAGATTAGATTAGAATAAAATAAAGATCCACCGCATTTTTAAAAGCTACATAACGATAATGATGGGAACACATTATGTTGAAATGCCTTTTTCTTATGTACAGAGTAATTATTATTACGACGCTTGAAGTGCGAAAGGTATTACATTTAAATAGTAAGATTAGATTAGAATAAAATAAGGACCCACCGTATTTTCAAAAGCTCCATAACGATAACGATGTGAACACACAAAATTATGTTGTAATGCCTTTTACTTAACTCATTCTCAACAATACCAATCGAGGCTTACCGTCATTAATGCGAATATTTAAATCAATCTTCCAAACACTATTACATTTTGTACTTGCACCGTAAGAATGATGTCACTTTTTTTTCAGAGTTAATTGATAAATTTCTTATCTATGCTATAATACAACTAACTCAAAACCGGAAATTCATACAAAAATTAGAAATTCGACTAAAGAAAGATTAAAGTCTTTTAATCTAAAACATTTTCATAGCTTCTACTTCAATCATTTATTCCATCCATCGAAAGTCTTTTGAGAACAGGCCGCCATGTTCTTTTTCCGAGTCATTAACAGATTGGTACTCTGGAATTACAAGCAATTATTTTACATTGCACGGGGTAGTATAAATTAAATAAATTTCAAATCAAATCTCAATAACCGACTTTTATATTTTGTGCACTAAGAATAACATATTGCAAAATTTTTTTAGAAAACTGTAATATGCAAATTGTAATCTGTTTTACTTATATGTATGTATGTTCATTTTGAATTTGCACCTTGAATGATCTATTAGTTACTTTTCGTGGTACATATTCAACATAGAAAATATACATAATGTATGTTCACTTTGAACTGGCACATTTAGTAATATATCAGTTACTTTTCGTGGTAATATATTATATTAG